GTGTCGATCAAACTCACAGTCTCGTCGGCACTTTGTTCCTCCCTTTCGGGGCGTCCTGAAGAGCACATCTCGTCCTCCATGGTTACCTACAGAGCACGGGAAACCAGTCAATTGGGCACGAAACCATACGCTCGTCGAAACGGACAAGATGAAGCGCGCGACAAACCGCGTCGCTCCACGCACGACCACAAAGTTGGTTTGAAACAAAAATAGCAGTCGCCTCCCCGACTTCCAGATGCCTCGACGGGCCCTTCTACAAGCCGCCTAAATAATACGATAACGCGGTCACCCGTGAATACGTCGACCCGGGGTATGAACATGGCGAGCAACATCATAAAGCCTAAAGCTAGAGCTATGAGTCTACCGGGCACGATCACGAATTAGGCGCCCTGGATCATGAAGACCCCGGGCAGCACTGCAGATTATAACCTAAACTATGTATCTACCGACCACGAACATGTGTTTGCCGACCTCATGCATGAATTTGTCAGGCTGAACATAAGTTTATCGGGCTATTCCCACGCGCACAGCCTCTAAAATCGTCTAAAACAATGAAAATCATGCATCACAACAGAAAAACAGAGAAGACAAGTCACTTACTTGGAATCAAGGAGTAGATTTGGCAATGAAGGAAAGGAATCAGTGACGGAGATCGCGGCGATGCTATGGGAATCTGGGAAGAACAACAACAGCAGAAACAGAGCGAAGAGGAGAAGCGCGAAGAGTAGTAACACGTTCTGGGGCCCAAGGATCCTATTTATAGTGATGACGTGGAATACCAAACGTCACCTCGGGCAGCCACGAATACACCTTCTTGACGCGCAACTCCCCTAGGCAATGATAACACTATCCTCATAGGGTGGCGGCACAGTTCCCAAAAGATACCTCGCGTGCTCGACAGACGTGTGCCGTTGAGGGATCCCCGAGCATTCCCCGCGGGGGACTTGTCCCCGAACATGGTGCGGGGAAACCCTCGAGTACCCCCACGAGGAGCTGCATCTCTGGCCCGGGCACGAGGCCACGAAACGGAAGCAACCTAAGATCAAGCCATGGCTCCTAACCCAAGGAACCACGACTTGGGGGGCTCCTGTTCTGGACTGGGCCCGACAGGCCCAATAGCATTGATAAGGCCCAATCCAAACGGACTTGCTGGGGGTCACGCCGACCAAAGGATCACAGTCGTGCCCGACGTACTCCCTGTGGCTACTTGCTCGACCTCCTACTGTCCAGCTCGACCTCTCCTCGAGCACCCCTCCTAGGGCAGACTCAGTCCACTACACCCTCACATGGGTCCCGAAAAGACCGCATCCTCGTCCGCCCGCACTTCACGCAGCACATCCAGGAAGGAGACCACGTGCGGGTCTCCACTACACACGTAGAACCTAGCAGTTCCTTCATTGGGCCAAACCTGCCCGGCCCAATGAAGGGACCTTGGCCCAGCGCTGAGGGCTATAAATACCCTCTGTTTCCAGAGGGTCAGGCATTGATCATTCTACCCATACTCTTACTATTGCCTGCTCGTGCTCTTACTCACTTCAGCATCAGAGTGTCTTGCAGGTAACCCCCCCCCCCCCCCACCTCGTTCAAAACTTCAGCTCGGAGCCAGCCGTGACGGTCCAAGTCTGATCAGGTTAAATCAGTTGCCAACATCTACCTCCTTCACAACTACACACGAGGCATCCAGAGGCACAATAAATTTGGAGAAAACATTAAGATGCACCATTTCTAATGAAAACAAAAACATAAAATACTCAAAAACATCTAAAACTGAAAACAAATTGCTGGAAAATCAGAACAGACAGATTTCAGAAATGCATCTTCGAATGAATTCATAGAGAATTCTAGAGATACATTTTCGGATACAACGTAACTTTTTTCGGCTTGAAAATATGATTAATGTGAGCAATGAAACTTGAAATAAATGAATTTTACCTTGAATTTCAACTTCTTTTGCTCCTTTAGATCTGATGAAACCTAATAATGAAGTTTTGGAGTGAAATTCTTGATTGAGAATAGAAGGAATGTTGGAAAGGGCTTATGGAAAAAAATGGATATGAGGTCTGATGGTGCGGGTGGTTGTTTTTAGCAATAAAACATTTGATTTTTCCAGAAATGCATCTCTAGAATAATATGACATGTAAATTCCCGCTTTAAATGTTTGAAAATAAATCTCTGTATAACTCCCTAGAGTGTGCAACGAAAAAAAATACTTTGGATACTATTCAACAGAGATGTATCTCCGGAATAGAATTTTGCTTGGCAATAGAGTGAAATCATTTTTGCCCTTAGGCGTGTGAACCAAATAGTACATTCGAAAATGTATTTCCGAAAATTGATGAACATTTTCAATTTTTCAGAGTTTTTTTCCATCTCATAGAGTGGACTAAAAAATTCCCAAATAAAATCGTCCATGTAATGAAGGCTCACAATAAACATTACATCCCGTCTTTAAATTTCTAGAGATCTCAAAATTTTAAAATTAAAATGTTTTTGAAAGGTCCCAAAATTTTAAAATCTTATAACCATTGGCTTTTATTATTATTATTATTATTGGCAGGGATATATCATATATTTAACCCTTATTAGTATCAGTTTGAACACGAATTTGTAATATTTGATAAAACTATGGAATGAAACATAAGTCATAACATAATTAAAAATAATTTCTATTTACTAAGTATATGAAACACAGAGGTTCATCTATACTAGCCACGGGCTTTTGCAATCACCATGCAAAGGTTCACCTATACTAACACCTAATTCAGATGATACAAGAGAGTTTGATACAAATCCATGAAAATCACAAAGATTTCATACAGTGAGATGCATCAATATCTAAGTGACAAAAAGTTAAAATACTTGTGTTATTCTTGATTATTTGTGTTATTCTTGGATATTTTCAAGATAGACCGCTTTCGTAGTACATGGATGTTTTTAACCTGAGGTGTTGGCCTAGTTGTGAAGGCCTGAATCCCAATAATGTCTTCTTCTCAGGGTCTCATGTTCAAATCTCGTTACGTGCAAACAATTTTTGTGTTTGGCCATATCCATAAAGCTTTGTATCCATACAAAGCTTTAAACGGCCCCCCACAAGTGGACGGTGGAATTTGTTTCCTTAGATTAGTCGATCGCAAGGCTGAATACCAATATTTAAAAAAAACGTATATGGCCAAAGGATATCAACATTGGAGGATTATCCTCAGTTGCTTGTTCCTTCGAGAGACAAGACAAACACAAATAGAATGCATCTCAATTGGCACAGGTAAGTTGTAACTGGTCCATAGACTGTCATTCCTGCTTCTTCTTTCCTGCCATGACATTCATATATTTAAGGAGAGCAAGCAAAAACTGGATCCCTGCTGCTACAGTCACACTCAATTGTCTGTTCGACAGGAAAGTAATGTGTAGATAATGTCAAAATTTCCAGGCCACAGAAAACAAGCGACAAAAGCATCTTTAACAGAACTTAGCTCCATGGTGAGTATCAACTGTGTTGACAATTTGTAAGGCCATAAGCTAAGATACACCAAAAATGGAAGCAACAGATCTATGGTTGGTGGTGCATCTACTCATTTGCAATATTCTATGATATACCTGGACAAGGGAAAAAAAAAGAAAGAAGCAAATGAACTAAAAATAAGCTTGTGGATTCCTTTTGTGATTTGGAACTTGAATCTGAAATGGACCTTGGCGCCCTTATTCTAGCAAATGCACCAAAGGACTTGTACCCAAATAGAAGTATATGTTTGTGTTTGTCTTTCAGGCATAGAGATGCACTTACAACTCCCCTTGAGGTATTTTCCAGCATATATCAATCGATTGAGTCACTAATCTAAAAGCTATCACCAAACGGAACTCAATTTGATTGGTATGACTAGTATTGTATACATGAAACACTAAATGCATGATGCGTATACAAGTTATTCCATTCCATAGCATGCAGAAGTTAAAGGTGCTAAACATTTAGCAAAATATAGTCATAAATTTAGATAAAGTTTCTTATCTCATCTCTGGTGGTGCCTAACATTGCTTGATTCTAACATTGCTTGATTCGCTTCAAAATTTTCAAATTCCCAAGCATGTGAAATCCATTCAAAATTCTTCGAAACAAGAAAATGAAAAATTTGTACCTTTGACATTCAAAATTTGGGATCAAGATCTTATGCCTTCTACTGCAAGGTTCTTGCAAGGATCTAAGCCTCCTTCACTATGCACCAGAATCATCACACTGGGGATGATTCCACCCACCGTGGTTTGCTGGCAATTATAAACTTATCCATAGCAGAGGCGATCAAACTGGATATGATTCCACCCACCATGGTTTGCTGGCAATTATAAACTTATCCATGATCACCTTAGTTAGGTGATAGTGCAAAACGAAAGTTAACTATAGGAATTATTAACAGGGAAAACAATCGATAGGAGAGGCGGTTAGTATTATTTAATAGTGACTTGCAGGTCATGACAATATAATACATCCATGATCACGGCGGTTAGTATTATTTAATAGTGACTTGCAGGTCATGACAATATAATACATCCATGATCACCTTAGTTAGGTGATAGTGCAAAACCAAAGTTAACTATAGGAATTATTAACAGGGAAAACAATCGATAGCAGAGGCGGTTAGTATTATTTATAGTGACTTGCGGGTCATGACAATATAATACATCCATGATCACCTTAGTTAGGTGATAGTGCAAAACCAAAGTTAACTATAGGAATTATTAACAGGGAAAACAATCGATAGCAGAGGCGGTTAGTATTATTTAATAGTGACTTGCAGGTCATGACAATATAATACACCAAATTTATAATTAGAAAACACATCAAATTTATAAGAAGCTTAAGCAAGCATTGCTCATTTTTTATTAGATGCAAAATTTCTTACTCAAAAACTGATACTAGAGCAGATACAAAGTTATAGGAACGTTTATTAATGACATTGCTAAGTTGTTGCCCTACATAGAAAACTACTAACTAACTACAGAGAAGGAATCTAATCCAGCACAACTAGTTTCTGATACACAGGGCCAGCAATGGCAGCTTCCATGGCTTCTACTGGGCTTATATCACCTTCATTATCCAAGAACAACGTCAGCAGATTCTTAGAAAACCCACTCACCAGTGCCACTCCTTTCTGAGTGGCTGGCATCGGGGTTGCCTTCGAGTCTCTCAGATTCCAAAAAACTATCTGAGGCACACAAGAACCGTACCCTTTCTTTTTATACTTCCTAGTGATTGCTTGGTAATCAGTCTCCCAAGAGTTTTTAGATGCTTGATCAAACTCCATGTCACTGAATACAAATATCCTCTTAATCATCTGTTCCTCCTTGAGTTTCCCATTTACTGCGACGTCCAATATGCGATCAAAAACCTTCTGGAAATCAGTGTTCATCCCCCAATGCATGTTCCTCACAAATTCTGTTTTGGACTTGAGACTATCCCCCTGAATCAAATGAAGCTGAGGCTTGGCACTGAAAGTAATAACCTTCCCTTTCCAAGGCTCGGCACTCAATTCAGAAACCAACAATCCCAATGTGACAGACACCTCCATAGGGATCCACTCATACTCCCAGACACATCACACACAGCAATACAATTACTCATCTTTCGTTTCTTGAGCAAATCATCAACTATTCTCTTCCACTGCAGCTCTGCCACTTCTCCACCATCTCCATCCTCCAAAGATTCTATAATTTCGTGGGGAAGCAAAGCACCCGCTGCAATAGTAGTCTTCCCAGCTTTCACATCCTCCAAGTACTTCTCAAACCTCTCCTTATCATGCTTCAAAAACTTCTCCTTATAAAACTTCATGGCCACAGAAGCAACCCTATTGTAAGGAATCAAACCCCATTGATTCGCCCCAATAAAGACCTCAGGCAACTCCAAGACCTTCCTCAAGGGCACCAACACATCCTTCCTCAAGCGATCACGAACCCTATAAGCATAATGAACATCCTCTACACCTTGATACTCCTCCCGAGGGAAGATCCTCTTTGCAATGCTCTCACACAAAAGGGTTGACCGATCAAAGGAAGAGTCAACAGAAGGACATCATTTAGCAGCAAGAGTGATTTTTGTGGAAGACCCAGATTTCAAAAACTAGAGATCTTTCTTCAAGCAATCAGAAAAATGATCATCGAAAATCAGGGTGACGATTGTAACGTTGGAGAAGCTTCTTAGCCAATGCAATCCTCTTGTCCTCCTTCAAAGTGTGAGCGGCTTCTTTCTCAGCCTTAGCTCTGGGCACCATCTCTTCAGTCATCAAAGAGTCTTTGGCAGTACCTTACCAGGCTTTGTTGTCGTCATTGTTTTTGATTTGCTTCTTCTTTGTTTTTCTTTGACCAAAAGGGGCTGATGATCGCTTGTTTTTGGATCCAAATTTCCTCCTTCGAATCCACTCTTCATTTTTGGGTGTCGCGAATTTGCGAACCTTGTAGAAGACGGTAAAGGATCTCAGGGAGATCTTTGAAGTAACCAAAGTCAGCGAGGGAAGGAACATTAGAAGCTAGGGTTTTAGGGTGATGTTGGTGAAACCAGAGAGTGGCGGCGTAAAAGCCTTCGCGTGAGGGAGTGTTGGGGACAACATGGAAGAAAAAGTCGAGACAGGGGTTACCTGTTGAGAGAAACGTTGGTGACATGTTCTCGGTTAACCCCGTCGGTGGCTGGCGGTTAGATCCTATGGAATTGAAGTTGGCAACCATTTGATCAATGAAACTGTCGTTAGTGGGGGTGGGTTTAGGGTTTGATTTGAGAGAGTAAATCTCAGGTGGACCAACGAGAGTGACGGCGGCCATAATGAAAGGAAAGTTTGGATCGAAAAAGACAGTAGTGTAGGGTTAAAGGAGGAGATGCGAAAACCGAAAATGATTCGAGTGCAATTTATAAACCGATATGCTTGGGATCCACGTTACTCTAACTACAAACTTACTAATTAAGTATATTATTTTCTCTGTTTGGATTGGATGTATGCGGTGTTTGGATCATAAGAAAAAAAATGTAATACAAAAACTTTAGAATGAAAATAGATGGAAAATAAGTAAAAAGTATAAGATGATTGTTTCATTTGAGTCAAAGTCAAACAATAAAAGTAAATATTTACTTTCTTTGGTCCGATAGAGTAAGAAATTAGAGGAAAGCAATGTATATATATTAGGCTGTTTATTTCGTTTTTTTAAATGAATTTTTTATAGTATTATATATTTTTATATGATAAAAATTTATAAATATTAAATGTTATTTTCAAAGTTGTTTTCAAATATCGCATTACTCTTCTTCTTCATTCAAAAGTTGGTAAAGTATTAAGTATTTTTCATTATTTATTACTTTATTTTAACTCACTTATCTTCATTCTCGTCTCATAAAAAATCTTTCTTCTTTTCTGATGTTTGAAATCATCTTACAATATTTGTTGATTCTCTGATGTTCTAATAACATTGTTGTGTTCAAGACTGGTTCTGGACCAAGACAAGCAAGTCCACAGTCCAAGGCCTAATAACAAAGGCCTCATATTTTTTAGATTTGGGCTTTAAATTATAAAATAAATTATTTATATATACCTTATTATTAGAGGATAATTTAGTATTTTGTTATTTGTAGATAAGTTTTTGATTAGGGCCTATGTGGCATCCTTATTTGTGTATAAATAGGTGTACTAGGTTTACATTATTAATTCAATCAATTCTCCAATCATTTGTGTCAGCCTCTATTGCATTTATTCCCTTTCATCTTCTCCTCAAATTCATAACCTTTGCACTAACACTTATGTCATAATATGTTACACAAATGCAACTACAGTGCAGCAGTTGTGTTCCTTGAGTTGAATTCATAGGTTGTGTTTGATCCCCTGATACACGCATATGTAATTTTTTTTTTTAAATTGTTTCAAAAACTGCCGTATTTTATGATCATTATAAAATATTAAAATTAAACCATGGGTCGTGTGTTAAACAACCATGGGTAGTGTTACTTTATAATTTATATATATTTTTTATTAATATTAGTATTATTTTTAATATTAATATTATTTTTAATTAAATCACTATGGTTAAATATAAATAATTAAATTAATAGATTTAAAATATTTTTGAACAAAAATTAGTCTAGTCTATCGGAATATTTTTAAGGTTTTGTAATTTTTTTTAATTAGTTCGAATTTCTTCATGCTACTATATAAACCCTAATAAAGTTTTGAAATATTTATCACATTGCCACAAAATTTTGAAAGTTTAATATATATATATATATATATATATATATATATATATATATATATATATATATATATATATATATATATATATATATATATATATATATATATATATATATATATATATATATATATATATATATATATATATATATATATATTGGATTGACCGACATTTACTCCATCGTTAGGGAGGCTCAATCCAACGTCTTTATCAAAGGTTCAAAAGCGCGCAGTCTAAACTGAGAACCGTTGAGCATGTTCCCACGTGTCCATTAGAAGCGTGTGGCTTACGTGTCTATATTATCGTCATCATGTCCTTCGAGAATAGCGGATCCAGCTCCTGCTTTTTCGAGACAGTTGATCAAGGAGGAGGCCATGTGCTGGACTCCATACACACGTAAACCCTGACAGTCTTAGTTGTTGGGCCTTATCGTGGTACATCACTGAAGACCTTGGCCCAACGCTGGGGGCTATAAATATCCTCTCACTTGAGAGGGCCAAATATTCATTCACACTCTCATACTCACTTACTTGCATTAGCTCTGAACATCACTTTGACATCGGAGTGTCTTGCAGGTACCCCCCACTTCACCTTCAATCGCTGCTCAACTCGAAGCTTGTGGGCTTTGACAATCCCTTCTGGTCAGGTACGATCAGTGGCGCCGTCTATGGGAAATCAGCTTCCACGTCTCCATCTCAAGACTAAAGCAACTCTCCATCAAACTATGTGATTGTCATGGCCGACCAAGTTGCCGATAACAACCAAAATGCCCATCTCGCCGACCTCAATAACAACGTTGGCGACAACAATATTGGCAACGACAACGCCGATAACGACTTCGACATGGCCGGTCCTGAGCAGAACTATAGAGACAGACTGACCGCCTCTTCATCATCCCGCTCCCGACCACACGAGGTCGACTATCATCCTCCCCAGAACTATGAACCTAACGCATTCCAGGAGGTCCCCGTCTTTGCGGGTGTTGACGTCACGACCAGAACTCTGTTTGCGGCCATCAACCAGACAAACTACATGATCTTCTCACAGGGTGAGCGGCTGAGGATGCTCGAACAGACTCGTCGGACCCCCAGAAGACATAGGAGGCCTGACACTCCTCCTCCCCGTTAGAACGAAGACCGTTCTCAGTCTTCCTCGCGGAGACGCTGACAGGATAGGTCGTGAAGCTATTCTCCCTGATGTACTGGGTGAGGCCCCGCGTTAGAGAGGCCCCAACCCGAAGCCACAGGAAGACGCGATCACCCCCCCCCCCCCCCACGCAGGGAGCGACGATCCTCTGGAAACAACAAAAACAGGTGAAACAGAGAAGGACGACCTCGGCCAAGGATTCCTCCCCGCAGCCAAGGCCGTCACAACGACCGCCACTACAACCGCTCCCCCTCCTGCTCTCTAGACAAAAGTGACGAAGATAACCCCCGCGGTCCCTTGTCACAAGTTATCATGGAGGATCTCATTCCTATGGGAATGGAGAAACCTCCCCAACTAAAGGATTACGACGACATTGCAGATCCTGTCGACCATATTGATGGATTTGAAGCAATGCTCCATTACCACAATGTTAGGGAACTGATTAAATGTCAGCTGCTCCCCACGACCCTAAGAAAAATGGCCATGGAATGGTACAAGAACCTCGCCCCAGGGTTGATCACGTCCTGGAGGAACCTTAAGAACTAGTTCATCAGCTCCTTTACCGCGTCTCGTCATCATCCGAAGACTGAGGCCGCCCTTGAGGCAATCGTCTAGAGAAACGACGAGACCCTCAGGGAATACATCGATCGGTTCAACTGCGAGGCCATTCAGGTCCCATACACTGATCACATGAAAAGGTACCTGCTCGAGAGAGGATTCCTCCCGAGCACTGAATTCAGAAAGGTCATCAGCATTGAGCCCCACTCCCCCCTCAGTCTTTCGACGCTCTCCTCGAAAAATCCAGGGCCTACATGGACTACAGGGAGAAAGAAGCAGCCAATAAAGCCCACGACTCGAGGAATTATCGACCAGCTAACATCCCATGACATCAAGACGTGGGCCCTTCTCGGCAGACTGGCAAGAAGAGAAGGGAGGAGAAATTGGGCGATCCCCACGAGCATAGAGGACCAACATGGTGGTTCACAGAGTACACCCTGCTGAACGCTTCGCACGAGCGTATCCTGGCAGAGTGCTCTAATACCGACTTCAAGGATGATGGCGTCAGACGTCCTCGATCCGCTCCTGCAAATCTCAGGGCGGACAAGACAAAATACTGTCAGTACCATCGTAGCCACGAGCACTTGATAGAGGACTGCGCCCACCTCAAGGGTGCCATCGAGACCCTCATCAAGGGTGGAAGAATCAAGAAGTACTGATGCAACGACGCCTCTCGTCGGGACACCCGTGAGGTAAAAAAGTCAAGGAAGATGCTTGACCGTCTGATGAAACGGGCCCCATCCAGATAGCTTTCTTCGTGACAAGGTCGGAGGACTTCCACGTCCCTGACAGCTATGAAGACGAACCTTTGTCCATGCACAACAAATGGGATAAACTCCCCTCCGCCCTGGTCATATTCGGCGAGGAATTCAACGACATCTCCTTGAAATCGGCGAAGAGGAAGCTCGACGAGTTGGTGGACGCAGCCTCAACCCAAGCGGCAACACTAGAGAGGTTCAAAGGAAAATCTGAACCAATCACTTTCTACCTAGAGGAGCTTCCCGACGGGGCCCTGAACTCGAGAATCCCTCTGCTGGTGAGGTCAAGGATGGGTAACTTCGACGTGCATCATATTTTGGTCGACGAGGGAAGTTCCGTCGATGTCATGTACATCCACCTGTTCTGAACCCTACAACTCGACGATATCCACCTATCACCATATGTGGGGTCTGACCTGCAAGGATTCAATGACTCGACCTCCAAGTCGTGGGGCTACGTTGAGCTTTTTGTCACCTTCGGGGAAGAGATTACTTCCTGACAAATCAAGGTGCGGTTTCTGGTGATTGACTGTCCATCTCTCTACAACTGCATCCTAGGGAGACCGGCACTAGCCGAGCTGACCATTGTGCCCTCTACTGTCCATTTGAAGATGAAGTTCTACACTCGGAAGAGATGCGTCGCCACGATCCATGGAGACATGTCAGCTGCCAGGAGATGTTTTCATGTGGGTTCCAAAGGACAGAGCATGGTCGACACCGAAGCGTGACCCGCCAAAAGAGTAACCACAACTCTACCTGAATCGCAGCCTACTCGGACCGAAGAACAAAGGGATCCACCAAAGGTCGACTCCATCTCGCTCGACACCCGCTTTGAAAAAGATGAAGTTGAAGCCCCCAACGGCGAACAGGAACTCTTCTGACCCATTCCAGACGGAGAATTCGAGTCCATCCCCCTCGGTGAAGACCCTCACAAAGGCGTGAAGATTGGAACTAGACTCCCCGACTTGGCGAGAAGGCGGCTCAAATCTTGCTTAAGGGAGAATGCGGACCTATTTGCATGGAGTGCTGCGGAGATGCCCAGACTCAACTCTGAGGTCGTCTGTCATCGACTCGCCGTTGACCCAGTCGCTAGGGAAGTAGTGCAACATAGGCGTAAGC